ATATCACTGAAATGATATTCTCCATCTCTTATATTCCATGATTACCAAGTTCTGCCTCCTAAACATCTGTAAGAGCTTTATGGCTCTTATTCTACTCCTACTGCTGCTCTAGCACATAGGGGGTCTCTTGGGGCCTAGGGGTAAGGAATTGCACTGAGAACCCAAAGGCACACTTGTCTACAACTGTCTCAACACCTTCAGCTTTGTCCCGCTCACTGCAAATGCATGCACTGTCCTGCAGCCAGAAGGATCTGTCTAGAACTTCAAAGAAATCTTTCTTAGTCATTAAGAATAACACTTCAGTGATCAATTCAACTAAAGGCAAAAACCTAAGTGCATTTACAAAACCTCTTCTCTCAAATTAGGCAGAAACCAGTGTTGTCCTTTCAGAGTTGTAATTTGGAAAATTGCTAGAAATCAGGGAATTTTATTCTGGTAACATGATCATTTACTGTCTTTATTTTCTGCTTAACTAGCAAAATAAGTTATATTCCAGGATGATGTAAAAAAAAAATCTACATGCATGTCAGCTTTATAAGCTTCTAAATCTACCTTTCATTTTGTGAATGAAAAAAAAAGAAAAGGAAGACTTATAAGAAGAACTTATCTGAAGTTTCAACATTGAGGCATGTGCCTTTTAATATTAAGCTTATAATACCTGCTAATCAGGCAGGAGTGAGGGTAATGGTGTCCATTAGTTTAATGATGCAGGGCTAATTAACTTAACCTCTTCCAAGCAGGTTTTGTAATATAAACCAGGAGGTTGGTTAAGGTAATATAATTTCCACAAAGAATTTCAAAGGGGGAAAATGATGACTAACTTGTGATGGACCATTGTTCTTTCCATTAAGAAAAAAAGGCTAGAAGAGTCCAGAAAGTACAAAACAGTTGTCCTGAGAAAGAGGGGGAAAAAAGTCTTACTAATTTCTGCATACATACTAGCAAAGCACCTGCTAAAATGTTTGTGTTGTTTTACACAGGGAAATTTCTGTTTATTTTGGACTGCACCATCAAATAGAAATGTAATGCATATCATTTAGGAATTTGTACATTTTCTAGCTGACATTTTTAAAAAGCAAAAAGATAGGTGAAATAAACTTTTGCAATCCAGTTCATTTCATCCAAATGCATCCTAAATATTATAATTTTAGCATGAAATCAATAGTTTTTAAATTGATGTGCTATTTTTGCATTTGTTTCACAAAAGTCATTGAAATCTAACCTATTTCCATTACAGATTATTGCAAATTAACTAGTAGTTATTCTACTGGATCATTGAGCACTAGACTTTAGTAACCAGTTGGATAGTTATGAAGACATTAGTGATGATTCCAAATTATTGAAAGATCTGGGGTGGCTTTTGAATTATGCCATAAAGACAACCTTTGTAAAATATAAAGTTACAATCACAAGAATGCTTTATTCTGTTCTATATTCCTCAAGCACTTGTAACTGATGGATAGATTGTGAATAACTGTATTAATAGAGATAGTATTTGTGATGGCATAGCTAAGGAACCCTCTTGTGGACAAAGCTTCCTCTGAACAAGACTCAGTCAGAGTGCTGAGTGCCTGAGGGGAAACGTGCGTCACCCTGAACAAGTCTAGGCTTGGATCCTCCCATTAGAAATATTGCCTTTCTTTCATCCATAATGGGAAATGCTAAGAGAAGGTAAAGAAAGACAAGGAAGTGAGAGAAAGATCATCTCTCAAGCAGGCAAGCAGGTAGAGGAAGGCTGTTTGCATGAGGAAAGAAAAGTCCTGCGTGGAACCATCCAGGCACCTCTCAAGCCAATTCACGTCACTAAAAAGGAGTATCTTACTCCCAACATCCATGTACGGAGCACTCGAGATAACCTGGTGCTGGCTGTTCATTTCTGATTGTGGGTATGATAAATTATAAATATACGATAGGATGAAACAACCATAAGTATACAGAGAAAAGGGCAACAATGATCTCCTCCTTGGAGGAGAGGACTCTCTATGAATCAACCTTTGATCTGAAATCTTACAGAGACCTAAAAGCTAGGCCAAGTGCAGACTACAGTGAATTGCAAAGGAAGTAGAGGCCAAGTTTTGAGAAGCCTTACATCTTCAGTTTATATGGCCAATGGAACATATAGTGTCAACATATATTTCAGCCTCTAGAGTTTATTGGGGAAAGGTTATCCCACTCTCAGTGGGTGCTGTCATTTGGTGAGAGCATTTCTAACTGCAAATCTGGGGGAAAGGGAGAGACAGGCCTTGTCTCACCCAACATAGCTTAAGAAGACTTCTTGGGACATATGTGTCCCACTATCCATATCATCATTCACAGATAGCACTTTTTAAAAAAATACCTTTCATTTAATTCAAATTGCTTCTACTGCTGAAAACATATTATTCCATCAAAAATTTCAAGTATAAGATAATTAAGTCTTGAGAAACGTTTTGTTGACATGGCAAACATAACTCACTCTTTTTTAGGTCAGTAAGAAAACTGCTTAAGTTGTTATCTTTTAATTTTTTTCATTTAATTAGTGTGAATTAATTGCTTTTATTTACTATATTTTCATTATCTAAAGCTGTATACTACAGAAAACACAGATATAAGCATAAATAGAATATAGGAATAAAAAGACAGAAGCTATTATTTTGAGAATATCTGTCTCGTACTGAGCACTAGGCTAAGGATGTTGCTTATATTGCAGATAGGTCACCTAAAGCTATGATATATAGAAGTTTGTGTGTATGACTGTGTGTGTGTTTTTCATGGAACATCTTCATAAGTCTTCTACAAGCCTTGTGAGAGTCGTTAAATATATTTAATTACTGATTTTACTGTTTTCAATGGTCCCAAACCAGATTTCAGCCTCAGTCCCTTGGTTTACAGTTTTAGGATACTACTTTGATATTTGTTTCAAATGTATGCAGAAATTTATAAAATGAAGATATATTTCTTAAAATGTTACACTAGAAATAACATCAGTTAGCTCCTTTGCAAGAATCCTATGACATTACTATTAATGTGTGATCAGTTGAATGATTAGAAATTTTTGTCTTTCTTTCATTTCCGTAAACTTAATTTTTTGTGAACCAAAAATTTGTTAATGTTCTTGTTGTGTACCATAAAGTCAGAATTGACTTACAGCTGACTCTCCACCAAGCTTTCAGAGGCACGTAATTGCAAGGAAGGAGATTGCCCATCCTTCTCCCCAGAAGCATATGATTGCCTTGAACTGTGTGCCTTTGGGATTGCAGTGCAGCTTGTTGCCTCTGGGCCACCAGCTATCACTTCAATTTATAATTAACCTCTGTGTTTGTCTTGCTGGAAGAATTCAGACTTTTATAACAATTAACAGTTGTTATTATTATCTTAGAATTTGTACAATATCTTGACATGATCTTCTACAGTTAAACACAGACATCTAGATATGGATTTATTCAGTGCCCTTCCAGAAAGGAAGTAGATGCTAGATATAAGCAGTTAAAATGCCATAAGTCATAAAAAATGAAAGGACAGCAGAAATGAGGTTTTCCTTTAGATGCCATGTTGAAATCCTTTGGGTGATGATGCTTATCTCTTCTACTCTCTAATTATTAGACAATGTTTTAAATTATGCTTTTAAAAATTACTCTGTAAATAGGTTACACACTATTATTTTTTGGGGGGGTAGAAGATTTTAATGAGAAACTGGTGGTTAATCTAGAGACAAATCTAAATATTTATGAATGTTCTCTGAGTTAAAGACAAAAATCTCACTGTATACATACTGTATTTTACTTTTAATACTCTATGAGTTGTTGACTTAATGACACCTAACAATAAGAACAACAGTGAAAGATAACAGCTTACCAGTTTGAGAAAAAGCAAAAGACAGGTAAAAAGGTAAAGATGGAATAATCAAAAGCCTATAGGAAAGATAAACATGAGAAAATATCAAGGTTAACCTTTTATCCAACATTTATAGATGGAGAAGACATTTGATACTTCATTTTCTTTCATGAAGACACATATTTGAAAGGAATTGTCTTGTACTTTAGAAGCCAAGCTGACTGTGACATTGGTCACACCCACTACCTACTAAACCTCTCTAAGTAACTTTAGAAAAAGAACTTACAATCCACTAGCCATAGAGTCCTGGGATGTTAAACAGAAACAATGCCAGGCACAACCCAGAGTTGCACTGAAGGAAAATAATGGAGCAATATACATAACAGGGTTTGGAAGAAACTTTGTGTGAATTCATTAATAAATATTACTTCTTCTTTCGCGTGTTTGTGCAAATTTGCTTTTGACTTTGAAACACAAATATTTCACCTTCCCCACTAGTGGAGAAAAAGTTCAAGTTGCTCTAAGTTTAAGAAGAGACTTGAAAGAAATCTCAAAGGGAAAGCTCCATTCAACATGACAGTTTGGGGAGAAGAAACTCGCTATATATTAAGCTCCATTTTAATTCTACAACAGTGGAGATGGTTTTCTCCGTCGTCTCTTCTAACAAGTCTTATATTGGGTAAAACGGTATCATTTTCTGTTTTAAAAATCCCTAGGCTAAGTGAGAGGAGACGGGATCAATTTCAAGGGCTGTTTCTGATCTACACCCCCTTACTTAGTTACGCTGCTCTTTAACAAGGTTGGTAGGCCAGTGATGAAAACAAATACCTAAGATTCAGCTTAGTTGGATCCTATTGAATACTAAACGTTCTGAGAAACTTTGAAATGTGCTTCACACACGAGGGAAGGAAGGGAGAAGAGAAGAGAAGGTATCTTAAGGACCTTTCCACTGTACAGTTTAAGTCAAAGTACTGAAACCACAGCCATAAACCTAAGTGAGAAAAATGCTGACAAAAAGGAGATCACTTTCATACTAAAAGAGAAGGTGGTGTACAGTTGACAGTGAAAATCATCTGCTTTATATTAGAAGTTACAGGCAGCGCAAGTTTTTCCAGAACATACTCTATGACAGGGTCAACAAGGGGAAAGGGGGTGTCACTCACTCTGGGTTCCAAAACCCTACTCACCGAGCTGCAGCTGTTCACACGTCCCATTTGGGTTCTTTCCGATCCTGCATCTGTAGATGGCCCCCGGCTTGACCACTGAAGCATTGGCGAGCCAGTTATCAGTGGGTGCTCCCACCAGGAGCCTAAAGCGAGAAACGTGCACGTGCGCACAGACGTGAGCAGAGCGGCCCGGCATGTCTGTCCGATCTCCACTGAGAAGCAGCCTCCACCGCCTCATCTTCCTCCTTCTCCACTACCCAGCCGGCCACCCGTAACTCACGGCTCAAGGACCTCACGGGGCACTGCCACCCCAAGATATGTTAGTTCCCCGGGCAGATCTCCAGCGAGCTCGCCCCTGCAGATACCGCCCAAAGGCGCGCAGTTACCCTCCAGCCTCCCTTGAAGGGAAGAAAGTTTCAAGCAGGGCTGGGAATCCTGGGTCTCGAAGATCAGAAGCCGCGCGGAGATGCACAGGGGACCGACCCCACTTACCATCGGTTGGGCCCATGGCTGTGCAGCACCACCGAGTAGCCGAACAGGGTGCTCGGAGGCCCCCTGTAGAGCAGTGCGCTCTCGGTGTCCACGTTGTAGGGGCGCCCCATCGGGACCCCCAGACACAGCAGCAGCATCACCACCGCCAGGACGGTGGTTGCTCTGAGGCCGAGACCGCGCCTCGCGTCCTCAGCCATGCGCTCTCGAAAGGGGACATTCAACACCAAAGGCCACTGTCCCAAAGTTGTGCGGGATGCGACTCTCGGCCAGGGCCCCAAGAGAAGAGCCAAAGCGTGTCGGGCGCAGGCGGGCGGGAGGTGAACAGGAGGGAGGGACCGAGGGAGGGGAAACCGGCCGGCCGCGGGCGGAGCGATCGCGGTGGCCTGGGAAACTGCGCGCCGGTGAGCCCCACGCCCGGTTTCTGCGGCTCAGAGGTGCGGGTGTTCCCGCGGTCCCGGGGCGCGGGCTGCTGGGTGGGGTCCCGGGCGTGGTGTAGAGGCACGGAACCCAGCGCCGTCCCCGTCACAGTGCAGCTGTAGAGGGCGCTGGGGACCTCCGCTTCTGCTGGGCGCTTGTCCCGACCCAGCCTGCCAGCCAGCAGAGCAAGGGATGACCCGGGCTCCCAGAGCTGCCACAGTGCAATAAGAAAAGGGACCGGAGTTTCTTTTAACTGTGCCTCAGACCTAGGACCAAACTGACCCCGCAGGACGCTCAGAACCTTCGCGGGTGCCCGGGCGTGGCCCACAGACCCACCCCAAAGCCAGGGGTGAAGCCTCTGTGGTGGGGGTGGGGGGGTACGAGGTGGAGAGGGGGACAGACTAGGACCTTTCACTTGGCCCTATATCTGACTTTTATTTAGAATGTAAGCAATTACATGACGAATTAACCAGAGGGTCACAGCCTGGGGAGGAAAGAACCATAAAGGAACACACTAAAGGCGCCTAAGGAACATGTTGACGACAAAGTCGTTATGGCTATTCACTTCGAGACTTACTGTTGCACCCTGGTGCCCACTTCCTTCCCCCTACACTTCCTCTTGAGAGGAGGGAGGCTGCTGGTTTTGAGGAGGCTCAGAGCCCTGGTTCAGGCTGCTTCGCGGGCTTAGGTTGCTGCTGATCCAGCAGCTCCTTGGCCTTTCTTACCCTTAAAATTATCTCATTTCAACACACTCCATGCAATCCTCCATGTTCCCTCTCTCCACTAAACACTCCTCCCCTCAGAAGGGTAGGTTCAGGTTGGGGTCAAGAGACACCATCATTGAACCTGTGGAAGGGACCCACAGCAAAACAGATCTAAAGTGGGTGATGATCACGCGTGATTCCAGAGCACACGTGATTCCGAGCCTAAAGCCAGCCAGCTGGGCCTCAGCTTTTGTTTCTTGAGCAGTAAAATAAACAGCCACAGATGATGAAGCAGATACTAGTCAAGATATGCTGTTCTAGTTATACATACACCACAGCTGTATGAAAAAAGGACCTTGGCTTCATCAAAGGGTGTGTCTTTGTGCTTTAAAATAACTAAAATAGCACCTTTAAATGGACAATGACAGACTAATATATGAAATGTTAAAACAACAACAGAAAAACCCCTTCAAAATCTGTCAATGGAGTGGATTCCTATTTACAGCGACCCTTTCCTCAGTTTCCAGGCTGTAAACCACAGTAAGATGAGAATGTTCTATGACTCACTGAGCGGCTGGTGGATTCCAACAGCCAAGGATGTGGATGGAGCCTTTGGGTTGGCCCCTAACTTGCTACATACAATCTATGCCCCCAGAGTTTCCTTATTGTTCAAATAAATCAAAACAAACTTGTTACCCCCTCCAAATGACTCACAGCTGACCCTGCTGCAGGGTTTTCTTTCTGTAAATCACGCTGGGAGGAGACTGCCCATCTTTCTTCAACAAAGGAGTGAGAGGACTCAAAGAGCCAGAGAGGTGCATTTTGAGTTAGCAGCACAACTCCCTGGAGACACCACCAGCCCTCCATTCATTCAGCATATTGACTGAGCAGGTGCTTTCCTACACCCCCAGGGTGTCCCAGAGATCAAGACAGAACGGACACACACGCTCAGGAAAATGTCCAGCTACGTTTGGACAAGCTTTAGAGAAACTAAAGGAAGTTCCCGCTAGAGGAAGTTTCAGCGTGGATTTCAATTCATGCGCCCCTACCCCACCCCGGTGTTCTAGAATAGCATCGCCCTCTGCCCTCTGGAGGGTTTTCAGGGTGTGTGTCTAGGAAGTAGATCTCTCAGCCTTCCTTCCCAGCTAGCTGCTAGTTCATCCCAACAGTCAACATTTGGGTTAGTAGGCCAGTGAGTGAATGTTTGTGCCATTCTGGAGTTCCTCAGAGTGCCTTAGTAGAACTGAAAAAGAGGGAATGTAGATCATTTGAAGGTTAGGGCGGGGCATGTTGAACCAACCAATTTGAGAAGGAAAGAGGAGTGGCTTCAGCCAGTTAGGTAGTAGAAGTGGATACATTTCTACTAAAAGCAGGAATTTAGCTGGTCAAGAAGAGCCATGTTAAGTCAGGTTACTATAGGTGCCAGTTGTCTGATGAGCCCTGATTCATAACAACAGCAGAAGGAAATTCTGTCCAATGTTACGTTGTCTTCACAATGTCTACTGTGCTAAAACTGAGGTGGTGGTGGTGGGTGGTGGTGTAACCATCCTGTCGGAAACAACCCGTAGCTGAGCCTCCAGCCAATTTTCAGAGGCAATTAATCTCACGTGAAATTGCCCATCTTGCTTCCAAGAAGCAGCTGATGGATTGTGTTGTCCTTACAATGTCTGCTTAAATCCAGGTTAGGAGGGTTTACTTTAGGATGAGTTTCAGAAGCTGTCAACACATTTATCTCAGTCAGCTGTGAGTATTAGAAGAAACATTTTGCCTTCAGTCTGGAGGGGAAGAGTGGATATAGAATGTCTATTTTGATGACTCCTAAGGATTTGATGACTGAAAAGGATTAGGGAGATGACAAACCCTGAACTAGGAAGCAGTAAAAGAAACGGGGTGGGGGAGGAGTTGAGATATATGTGCATGATAAAACCCAATAGCACCTAATTAGAGATGTGAACTTGGAGCTGCAATGAATGAGGCAGGATGAGTCTCAAGTCTCAGTGTTGGAGACTAGAGGGGGACAGCCACTGGAGAAATTATTTCAGTCCCTGGATGCCATAAGTAATTTGCCTTTGACTAATGGCCTGCAAATGGTCCATGTGACCCTAACCAGCAGTGCCTTAGGAGAGAGGCCTGGTGCTCAACTTCCCTCAAGATTCCAGCAACGAAAATCCTAGAGAGAAATTCTACTCTGTAATACCAGGAGTCAGATACTGCTTGATGATAATTGGTTTGGTTTGTTGCTATTTTGTTGTTAGTTTGCATGTGTGTGCGGATGGGGGTATGGATAAGCTAAATTTCAGGTGTGAAGTTCAAGATATTTGCTACGTATTCAAATACTCCAGTAAAATGCAAGCCAATTATTTTTACTTTCTTTGTCGAACAGAATTCTAAGTGGTATTTGCAACAAAGGACAATGCTAATAATGATGTGATATATCTGTTGCAAAAAAAGAAACGAAGTGGTTTTTCAGGAGGCCAGCTAGCAGAGCACATGTTGGATATCTCTGCTCGGCTTCTTAGCCTGTGCTTGGTCCTGGGAAGATGTACACGCTGGTTTTGATCCAGATCTGCAGCCAGCTCGTATGGTCATTAGGCTAAAAGACACAATCTTTGTAGTTTGTGGTCATAAATCTCCATTTGAAACCTGTTGCTCTCACGCCCTACAAACTCTGCGGTGTTGGATTTGCTAGTTTGAACCCCTCCCCTCTTTTCACTAACATACAATGAAATGCATTCACCACAATTCTTCTCATAGCATAGTTAGCATGAACAGTCGTCAGTAGAGAGTTTGAGATGGGGCAGGACCTTCTTTCTATTATTAAGATTATGATTTCACTGCCTTCCAGGAACAGCCAAGCAATTCAGCCACACATGCTGTGTTAGCTCTGATTTTAAACCCTCCCCCAAGGCTTACAGAACTACAGATTTTTTTACAACGTCAGCAGAAAGAAGGGATGTTTAATGTTTTGAAAAAGCAACATTTGAAAAAGGCTTGTGAAAGACTTTTACAAAAACTTGTCCTTCTCTCTTATCCACAGCTGGACTTAAATATTCAGTTATCCTATATTTGTTACTCATTTTTGTTCTTAGGTGCTGTTAAGTGCAACTCATAGCGACCCTATAAACAATGGATCTGAACACTGGCCTATCCTATGCCAACCTCACAAACACTGATACCCTTGAGCCCACTGCTGCAGTTACTGTGTTAATCCACTTTGTTGAGAGTCTTCCTCTCCTTTGCTATCTCTCCATGTTTCCAAGAATGATGTCTTTCTCCAAAGAATAGACAATCCTAGCAATATGCCCAAACTATGTGAAATAAAGCTTCACCATCATTGCTGCCAACCAAGGAACCCTCTGACTTCACCTTCTCTTGGACATATCTGTTTGTTCTTTTGGCAATCTATAGGATATTCAGGACTCTCATCCAACACCACAACTCCTAAATAAGACAAAATATAAATGATCTTGCTCCTTGTGGAAGGAGTCCTCCAAAGAGACTAAAATAGGGACTTTGCAGAGGAGTTTTGGTGGCCAAGTGGATAAGGAATTGTGTTGTCAATTCAAAGACATAGGTTTTGAGCCCTCCAACTACTCTAAGGGAGAGAGATGGGCAGTCTCCTTCTGTGCAATTTAGGAAACCCACTAGAAAGTCAACTGAGAGCCAGTTCCAACTGGATTGTTCATAACAATAGCAGCGGCGTCATCTGATTCACAGTTGCTAAGAGTGACCATTTAAATTTCCTAAAAGACTCTCTTCTTGTGAAACTCCCTTTTGTAAGATTTCCACACCCCCTTTCCTGCTTCTCTAGTTCTTTGGCCATTTTGAGTCATTTTTGCTGGCTGTCCACATCTTAAGTGTTAGAAACCCAGACCTCCACTCTTGATTTTCTTCCTGCATCTTTCTAATCTCTTATAGGAAACCTCATACTATGGCTTTAAATGCCATCTCTCTACCTATCGAGCTCTTTTGGCCTAGTGGTAAGAAACTGGACTGTAATTCCGAAGGCACGTGGTTTGACTCCACCAGCGGTTCCTGGGAGAAGGGTGGACAATCTCCTCCTGTGCGATTGAAACCCTGTTGAGGGGCCAGCTATGGGCTGGTTCTGACTTGATGGTACTCAACAATGACAACAACATCTATCTATTTACTCAGAATTCCCAAACCTTGACCTGGTTTTTTTCAGCTCTAAGTTTACTTGTCTATCATATACCTGATGTCTACTTGAAAGGCTGGTGAGTACTGCTTATATAACATGTCTAAAACACAGTTCTGTTCATGACTCCTTTGT